CTCTGGATGATGATGATGAGGTGATGATTCGGCCCCTTTTATTGAAAGTGCCATGTCATTTGATAAGCTTGATAGCCGTTCGTCAAGTAATTTTGTAATTTTTTGTGACATCAACGAATTTGATTCGTTGATGCCGGTTATTGTCGCGTGCGCTTGTGAATCACACGTTTTCATATGATGGCCGACCGCGCTGCACATGTTATTATTATTTTTATTTATTACTGCCAACGTTTCTTTTACGTCATTGAGCAGGTGCTCAATGCTGTCGAATAATTCTGATACTAAGCAGAATTTTTTTAGGTCAGCAGCAATGCGGTGATTCGCGTCCGTTTGAGAGTGGATTGCTTCCACAAGTTGCTCCTGTTGATGAAGCAGCTTCCTCACGTCGGCTTCCTTCCGTAAAATGTGCTGGCAGTCATAAATGCCGTGATGAAATGCTCCCGTTGTCGCTGTACTCCGACACAGACAGCATGGTATTTTTTGTTGCAGAATTCGCACTTCCATAGAAAGCGGTCGTCGTTGATACTGCATGATATTACACCGCACGGCATAACTGCTTATGTTGTAAATATTCGACGAATACTATAAGGACAAATGGCCAGCGAGACCCACACGCGTCGTTGTCGAAGTGTAAAAAAAAAAAATATTTATATATATACAAATTACTTGCGGAGCAAAATGCAAATGCGTCCGCGCCCGAAGACAGCTCGTGGCGAAAAAAAAAAATTGCCAAATAAATTAAGGGGGGAAGTCTAAAAAATTTGTGAGGGAAGTAATGAATTCTTAAGAGGCTTTCAATGTGAGTAGAATTCCAAGTGAGATTAAAAAAGAAAACTGAAATGAATTCAATGAAAATTCTTTCCATAGAATTTCTTACTGAATGCAATTCCTAGGAAAATTAAAAGAAAATTGGATTCGGAGCATAGTTGCGAGAAGTATTTTAACTATATTCTTGTGATATTGTTTAGAGAATTCAGAGAAGCATTCCAAGTGAATTTCTGAAATAATTCCATGAGAGTTTCGGTGGAATACGAGCGAATGATGAGGAGAACTCCAAGCGAATTTTCATGAGAAATACCCTGAATTTAATTGAACTGTTCTAAAAAATGTTTAAGCTTCCGTGAACTTCTGGACTTTTGTGAAAACCTCCATAATTTTCTTATCAACTTTCTGAAAATCTGGGAACTTCTTGAAATTTTCCGCTAATTTAGTGAAATTAGCTGAACTGAACCCCCCTAAAAATCCCCTTGTTTTTGAGCTTTACTAAGCTAATTTGAAATGCTCCCGAAATGTCCATATATGTTCCTGGAGTTCTCGGATCTTTCCTTAAGTTCCATAGACTTTTATGAAGTTCTCGAAAAGTTTCTGAAGATCTCTGTACTTCTGGGAAGTTCAGGAACTTCTTTAAGCTCCCGCAACGAAATGATTAATACAGTTCTTTGATTTTCACGAAAGTTCTCAAGATTTGTCGATTCGTAGCTTCTTCAATAGTCTAGCGTTTCTTGATGTTTTTAAAACTGCCCAAAATATTTCTCAATTTCCTTAAAATTCTCTAGACTGCCCTGAGTATCTTAGTATTTTTTAAAAGAACCCACAATTGTACTGGAATTGGGTGAATTGCCTTTAAGTTATACAATTGTCCTTAAGTTTTATACACGCTCATGGAACTTTGCCTTAAATCACTAATTTTCCCTGGAAGGTCCAGCCCTGAAGTTTTCTATGCTAACCTTAATTTCTCTAAATTGATCAAATATTCCGATGAATTTTATTTAAAATATATGAAAATGAAAATATATAATTAATTCCCTGAATCTTCTAATGTTTTCAAATCAATCATAGAATTCTTGGAATATCCCATAATTTCAAGGAACTTCATGTTAGTTGCTGCCTCTTTCTTTAAGTTAATGGGATTTTTGTGATGTTATCTGATCATCCTCGAAGTACTCGGAACTTCACTAAATATAACAAAACAATCTAAAAATATATAAATTACTTAGAAGTTCTCTGGAATTTCTTGAAAATGTCGGTGCTTGCTGAAAGTTCTAGTTTGTTGATGTTCTCTAATCAGCTTAGCTAAATTTTCGAATTTTTTTAGATCTTGACATTTCCATGATATAACACCCTTGAAATACTCTCACATTTTCCGGATGTTCATATAATTTTTATTGCGTTCCAGAAATTTTCTCTGAGCAAACCGAAGTTTCCGGAAATTTTCTTGAAACTTCTTTAAGGCTTCTGCAATTTCCTTGATTTTTTTAAACTACCCTTTAATTCTATGATCTGTCTTGATGTTCTCGGAGCTTCCCTAAAGCTCTCAATTCTAATGAAGATCTCGGTTCTGTTTTAAAATAAATGGAATTCTAGTGAACATCCCTGGAATTCTCTGGATTTCTGTGAAGTTCCTGAAATATTTCTGAAGTTTTCATAAATATTCTGAAGGTCTCTGTACTTCGGAACATCTTAAGGGTTCTCAATTTATTTTTCAGCACATGGAATTATCCTGAACTTGTCTAAACGTTTATAGATTTTCAAACCAATCCAATAGTCTGGGCTAAAATTTCGGGGACTTCCGCTTAAGATCTCTGGAATTCCCCAAAGATCTCGAGACCTAGAACTGAAAAATAAATCTATTTATTTTTTTAAGTTTCCACAATTTTGCTGGGACGAAACTTCAAGACATTAAAAATGTTCTGATCTTAGACTTACTAAAATAAAGTAAAGCTGTTTTTTAAACTGATTGTCAGGTCTTTTCTAATTTTTGTTGTTGTTGTTTTACAATAAATTATAAACCTGGAAATTATCCGGCAAAGTTATGGAACAACCTGGAAAACTCAGGCAACTTTATTTAACCAAATGAGTGCAGATAGAGAAAGGCGATTAAAAGTCAAAAAACTCTATACAAGGTCGTCAACTTCGAATTGTTCAAACAATAGAACAAAATGTAGGGCTTTCCTTCACACTGCAAGAAGAATGATCAATCTTGAAATAATTCCACGATAAAAAAAAGTTTAAAATAGTGACTGATTACAAGAAAAAGTGACTTTAGTGTCTTGGCCTTAAAAAAAGAGACTTTTTAGTGACTTGCTTGGTGACTTGGTCACTACCAAATCACTAAAAAGTGACTCGCTGCCAGCCCTGGAATATGAAAAAGCCATCAAAATAAAAAAAAGGAATCACTGAAATCATAAAAACAGCTTTTCGACTATTTTCAAGCAACATGTATGATAAGACTAAATAATAAAATCTGTTCGGTAAGTTCTGATCATTTCTCATTTATTTTTATTTGAAATAATAGATTTTCCCTTCTTCTAGCCTTACCCACATGCCTATGTTTCTTTTTTACTTTGTCATTTAATTCCGATGGTTCGGTACATGGACCTTGAACGGGATTTTTTTTTTAAACTCGTGATTTTAAACAGCAAAATGCTTTTTAAGTTTTGACTTCGTATTTTTTGTACTAAAATTAAAAAAAAAAACTGCAAAAACGCACTTTATTAAGTTTAAAAATGCTTATTTGTTTAGTTTAGTATGTGGCGAGTAATTTTATAGCCAAAATACATGTGGGAAATACGAAATCTGCAATGCGGTGATTTTTCTAGAATACAGACAAATACAGACATATTTTTTGACGCTCATACAGACTTTTGAAAAAATCATCTGGCATCACTGTTCGAAAGTTGGAAAAAAATGGCGTCACCCGAAAAACAACGTCACGAATTGATTTTGCGCAAGCACCTGGAAAATCCTCAACTCTCTCTTCGGGACATCGGAAAACAACTCGGAATCGTGCAGTCAACGGTGAGTCGTGTGATTAAACGTTACTACGAAACTCTGCGCTTCGAACGGAAGGAGAAATGCGGTCAGAATGGATGTTCTATTAGTGATCAGGATCACAATTCTCGCAATTCCGGAATCTGAAGATTGTTTCCAATAATGGGTGTAGGTAATGGGCAGCAACAACGGTAAACGGACAAATGATTTACAGGTTTTATATATCCAATACTTTATATAATTGCAAGCAACGCCGGCTGGGCGTATCCTATGGCTTTCCCTCCATACTAACGAAATTCCACCCTTCCCGTGATACTTATGAGGGGTCGTAGAGTTCTCTGCATCGCTCTTAAGTAAGTGTCGGACTAACATTCCTCTCCCATCCCACCAGATGCAAGGACGTGGCCAGGACAGCTCTAGTCTGTTGGAGGGAGACTCATCCTGTATCTAAGAGGTAGTGGTTAACCACAAATTATTATCTAACAGCAACGGATGAAGCTGGGTCTCCTCCTTAACAACAGTTTGGAGCTCGTACCACCTACGACATTGTGCAACCTGGTTTATGCTATCGTATGCATTGCTACAGCTAAGCGAAACAATTTTCAATTTTGTAACAGGTTGTATTGGCTATCAAAAGCAACAGCAAACGTTAAATATAGCGAGTTATTAACAAAAGAGAAAATCGACGAAGAGAATCATTCATCGCGTTTACGCCCTTATGCATGCTCACTGTCGAACTCTTTTTCGTTCTTCATCACACATCCTGACTTGGTTTGTCAGTTCAATATGAATAGAGCTATTTTTAAGCTGCATGCCTCACATCCGATCATCGGGACGCAGAAAACCTTTCCTCAGACGCACGCAAAAGCTGTAATTTACAGCTTTAACTAATTTAACTACACCCTGCTTACGGTTAACTACCCTAATAGAAAATAACCTTATAAAGTTAACGACGTGTTCGGTATAAAACGTCATCATCAATCTTTTCCAATTATCGCAGACTCATATTTTGGGGTTATGAACCAAACTATTAGATTACAAGTTCCTTTAAAACTAAACACCTTAACACCGTGCATCTTTATGGTTGAGTTATCACCTGTGCCGATATTTGTCATCCCACTTCCGCTGTTGAATATTAAAATGATAACGACTCAAAATTCAAGGCATCACTTCTCGCCACAGGGAATGAAAATGAAAACTAATTCCAGTTAGTTTGCGCTAGTTTTAAGAACACGTTGCAAGCTCGAAAAGATCGACCCCTACACAATAGCTTAGCTTAGCTCTATGATGGTACTTACGTTGCTGGTGCTGCTGGCGATTGCTTCCGAACATGTGATCGCCAACGAAAATGTCACCACGTCGATCCGGGAGTTTGTCGTCGGTGGTGGCAATGCAGGACCAACACCCCATCAGGCCTCACTCCAACAGGATGGGCACTTCTGCGGTGGAGTAATCATCGACCGGCGGTGGGTTCTAACGGCGGCCCACTGCCTTATGGAGTCAGTATAGGATCTTAAAGCGAGGAACAGTGAACTTGTGTCAATAACTATTGTATTGTATAATTGCTAGGGCAAGACCAAGTGACATGACGGTCGTCGTCGGTACGACTCAGCTGAGCAAAGGCGGTTCCCGGTTCCGCGTGGTGCGATTGGTTGTGCATCCTCAGTATGAGCGTTCTCGAGCGGCAAACGACATCGGCTTGGTGCAAATAAGGGGGATATTCCTGTGGCTTCCGAATAGGGTGAGGAAAATTGAAATCTCCAAAAGTTACATCGAAGATGGGACGGAAGCAACGATCACCGGATGGGGAGGTACTCTACAGAGCGGCGGTCCACTATCGGATAGGCTACAGTATGCTCGGTTGAAGGTCATCGGCGAACGGCGATGCAAGGCACTGTTGGCCAACATTGGCGACTGGATTCTGTGCACTTTTACCAAAGAAGGTCAAGGCATTTGTGGGGTAGGTGATGTAGTTGGGTGGATGTATGTTGGAATTAATTTTGAACGATCATCGTTTCGAGCAGGGTGACTCCGGTAGTCCTTTGGTGAGTGACGGAAAGTTGATCGGGATAGCTAGCTTCGGAGTAGGATTCCTACCGGGCGAAGGCTGCGCTGCTGGACTCCCGGATGGATTCGCACGGGTGTCACACTTTTACGATTGGATTCGAGAGACCATTCAACGGCGGCGGATTGGGATTTTCGGACGGTGAACATCTTCTGGCTACAAAAATAAACAATAGATTATTCACACTTGCAGGCAATATTTTTTTCCTATGATTTTATTTGAGTTTTAGGTATTTTTTTTCTGGATACAATACTGACAATTTCTCTTGTTGCGTTCAAATGATGGCGGGAGGTTGCATCAACGTTCAACTAGATTTGATGGGATAGCGAAGAAATGCTGATATCACACATGTATGGTCACAAAGATTTACATTTAAAGGTCAATTTAGTGTTGTTTGGTAAAATTTAGACGGATTTCTTGTGTTCCACTCCACCGTTGTTGTTGGTGGGTGCCTGGCTAATTTCACCGTTGTCGATATGATTTGATCGTTGCGTAACGGGCATGTCGCTGCTGGATTCTAAAACTATGTGATGGTTCGATGGTTGACCATTTGACTGCAGCACGGAAGGCGGCGGTGGCGGTTGGTGATGACTGTGAGTAGCCAGATGCGATAGTGAGCTTTGGTATATGCTGGAGGACTCCAGATGGCTACTGTAGTCGAACAGGGCCTTCAATCTGTGATCGAGAAGTGATTACGTGTGGTTAGTGACTCTGATTTCGATGCGATTATCGAGGCAGGACACACTCAACTACTGTCGTACTGTCGGATGGAAGAGCATGGTGGCATTTTCCGATGGCCGGAGGAGAGTTAGTAAGGCGCGCATATTGCTAAGTACAAACGTTTGTTATTCACACGACAAACGGCGGCGGTGCAAACGAAAGCTCAGTCAGGGATTGCAGTCATCAAACAAAAATGAAACTAAATGCATGGGAAATTTCAATTGCAGTGAAATTCTTTACTTGCTTCCTTATCAGTGATCGAAAGCTACAACTCTTACTCAATATTCATAAATAATATTGTCTGTATATGTAATATCATTCTTTTGTTCTCACTTGGTTTTTCTTAACACTTGGAAAAGGGAAATTTATACTTTTCGATTTAATAAAACAAAATATCTATCGAAATCAAGGAGTTAATGGATGGCAATAATGAAGAGAAATAAATGCATATAGGTATGTAATTCTTAAGTCAAGAGTTGGCAGTCGAGGTCGGTTAGGTGTGTCACTCTTACGTAGACTCAGGTTTTACAGTATAGAGATACAGTCTTGTTTGCGTCGGGTACTAGTGTTTCGACAGATGGTATGATGCTTAAAGACTAGTTGATTAGAAAATAAATGGAATAAATTAAGATAGACGGTAGAGGATAGCGTTGGCGAACGAGAATCATATATGGATATCTACTATGGGTAAATGTGGAGCATTGAACATATTTTCCTTCTTCAGAGCTATCAATCAGCTAGTGGAACTGTGCTAGTGGCAATCCACCATTAAGACAAAATCTCCCGAGATCCTGAATTGATCGAATCTCGATGAAGATTTCAAATGGTCCTATCTGCTTTGATCGATTATCTTCATCGACTTTCTCTTGTGATGATCACTGTTATGCAAACAGATTTCACACTAATTTTACCACATACATAGTTTGATAAAGGAGGTTCTTATCTAGCGTCCAAAACGTCAAATACAACAGAGAAAGGTTTTGCAACTAAGTTATTAACGAAAATGAAACTCGATGAAGATATTCGATCAATGCAGATAGGACCTTTTGAAATGTTTATCTAGAAATGATCAGCACAGCTAGCAGCTTCGTCATCGCTGTTACCATCTTTTTGGTAGCAATGAACGAAATCATATTCATCTTCGTCTATGCGAATAACATCGTGCTGACCACCATAAAAGTTGTTTTTGTTTTTGTAACTAAAAACTGTACTCGAAAAAAGTGAGACACATTGATTAGTTTGTAACTTTTTAGCATGTGGGTAAAAATTTATAAAATTTTTACTTAACCTAGCTAAGAGTGTAATGTCGGCAGAATGTCATCACAATCTGTCAAGTGGTTATCGAGATGGCATCAGAGCAAGAGCAGATCCGCCAAAAAATCTTGTGTTCCGTCGTGGAAAATCCGACTGCGTCCCACAGATGGATCGGGAAACACCTGGGAATCCATCATTCGACGATTTCCCGGGTGGTGAAGTCATTCAAGGAGACCCAGACAACCCAGCGGCGGGCAGGCAGAAACCGAAGACAGCTGATCTGGTGAAGGCCAGGTACACAGCAAAAAAATAACTTTAATATCACATCAAAGTGGATGCACTTCAATCGTGTCGAAATCATGGTGTAATATTACTTGCCAAAAAGGTCAAAATTATCATTAATACAGTGCATGAACTGACATTACGCTGCTTTTACTGCATTTGTTTATTTTTGTGGCAATAAAAATTACACGAGATTTTTGACATGTTTGAAGTGCATCCTCTTGGATGTAATATTAAAATTTATTTTTTGTTGTGTAGGTGTTAAGTCTGTTCAATGAAACGTGCCGCCATCCACGTCTACAAGGTCCGGAGGGCACCGAACCAGAACGACAAACAAAACACGGTGGCCAAAACCCGTGCCGGGAAGCTGTACCAGGTGTGGCTGACGAAACCGAGGTGCATCGTGATGGACGACGAGACTTACATCAAGGTTGACACAAAGCAGTTGCCGGGGCAAGAGTTTTACGTTACCACATCATGGTTGGCAGTCCCTAAGGAGGTAAGGAAGAAGAAGATGGACAAATTCACCAAAAAGTACTTGGTTTGACAACCCATCTGTGGGTGCGGCAAGATGAGCCAGACGTACATCACGACGGATTCCATCAACGGGCAAATCTACCGGGACGAATGCCTACCCTTCCTGCAGTCTCATGGAGGCGAGACGCTGTTTTGGCCGGATTTGGCATCCTTCCACTACCTGTGGCCGGTGTTAGACTGGTACAGAGACAACAATGTTGTTTTTGTATCATAAGACGTCAACCTACCGATCTCGCCGGAACTTCATCCGATTGAAAAGTTTTGGGCCATTCGGTTATGGAACGGAGATCCAATAAAGCAATGTATGTTTGGCGACCATTTTTGTGAGTCTCGCTGTTTTCGAGTACATTTTCAGCCTAAAGACAGGTTTGCTTCGGAGAAAGTTTTTAGGTGGACCGATTTGACATGATGACGGAAAGCAATACGTAGTCTGGGCGGCCGTATCGATCGGCATCTGACCTTAAAAGACCACTTGCAAAACAAGAATGCTTCTGCTGAAATCTCTATCGAAGCAATAGCACAGTAACAATAGGGACGTCAGCCTCAGAACTCTCAACGCCATCATTAACGCAAGATTTTCTATGGTTCCAAACTAACATGTACTGCCGCTCGTCGTTTTTGTCAAAACCGAGTTTTTCCATGGAAGTGGTAGCTAATCACCCATAGTTTCATAATACTGGATAAACTCATCAACTTTGCTCTGGAAAAGTTTGGAAAAACAGTCCACCGGTTGTACGATTGCATAAGAAGCAATGGTACGAAGCTAGTTCAAAATGCGTTTTTCTCGGCTTGCTAATTTGTGCTATGGGACGCGCTTACTATGAGCGGCATTGTAGATTTTCCTGGCTCCTGTTTACAACAAGTCGGTTAAGATCATCATAGGCCTGTTAACTTCAACACTGGTTGCTAACGACATGCTTTGTTTGTACTAGAAGTTTTGCCACTTTAACATTGTCTCACATTAGCAGTTAGCTTTCCTGATAATACTTTCGGAGGAAGTAGCGGAGTCGATATGCATCGAGGTGAACCGACTCATCAGACAATACGCAAATTCGAACTCTTCCTGTACCGTCTTTGTTGATTTCTTGAAGATTCCACAAATGGCCGTCATTCCCTATAACATCAACTTTTCTAGTGCACAAATCTCGGTCACCGTTGCGACATCGCTCATGAAATTGGAACCCCCTGTTTGCTGCACTGCAGCAATCGTGAAGTTACAGATTCATTACGAGGTGATAGTAAGATCAATCAGAAAGTTACAGAATTCAAATTTCCACAATGCCACCTACCGAAAGTATTGTATGGTTCATTAGATTGAAATGGGAAATGCCATGGATTGGATTTAAAAGTTGGAATACGGAATACTTAAATTTATAAGATGTTAGGATTTTAGAAAATTTTCAAGATACTGAGGCTTGGATGGATTTTAGATCTTACACATTTCAAAGTTCTGAAGAATATTTGGATTGTGATTAGAATTCCAGTCGAATTTTAAAGATAAGCTAATGGTCTTCTGAAGAGAATTTAATAAGGAATTCTTGAGCGAATATAAAGCAAATTCTGAGGATACATTAAAGAAAAACTATGCAGAAATCTAAAAAAAATGAATTCCGAAGATGGCTCTAAAGAAATTCTGGAGAAGAAAAGAGGAAAAACATCTTTAGAAGAGTTGCAAGGAATTTCAGGTGGCAATTCAAATGAATATTCTAATGTAATTCTAATGATAGTTTAAAAGAAATTCCTAGCAGAGTTTCAAAGAACTTCTTAAAAGAGTTGACGCGTTCATCTAGATGAAATTGATAAATAGCAGATTTTTAGCGATGGGCCCAATCTTAGATCCATAGGCCAACATTAGAGCAATTTCCCCTATATTCCAAGATGTTGGATCCCAGCAATCATTGGACTTGCAATCCTATCAGAATATCCTTTGAATTACATATTTGTCACCTGACGATTGATTCCGAATTAGACAATAAAGATAGACTTGTTACAACCACTCAAGATCATTTTAATCCGGAAGTACCGTACATAACAGAAGACAATGTTGACCAGAAGTTCTAGGGAAACAGGAGCATTCTGAAGTGAATGTCATGTCAACTCTTAGGGACTTGCAGGTTGTCATAGGGTATATTATTCGACATTCCAGGAAATCTCAGAATCCATCGAAATTTTTGTAAATTCAGAAAACCCTAGCTTTATCGAGGTCTGAAAAGTTACTTGGGAGAACCGAATCCAGACCCGCTGTGGTTGCGGCATAGGCTCACGCATACCACACAATCACCGACAGCACCGTCATCGCCGAAGAATTGAACTGCAAATTGAGATTCAGAAAACTCAAAACAGAATTTGACACTGAACTTATCAGGAGATGACTCAGTTTTGTCCGATTGTTGTGTTCAAGCAATATAGGATATTTAGTATCTCAAAAACTCCACATTTCCCGCTGCATAATGTAGCCCAAGCTATCTGAAGCTGATCACGCACACTAAAAAGAATAAGCCATGCACATCAAATAGACCATTCAATCGTTGAGTTTGTTTAAAGTCTCGTTATGCAATTATAGCTAAGCTAAAAATAAATAATGTACATGTGGAACTATTTTCTAAATATTTTTGTGCCGTGGTCACCCGTGCACTTGTGCCTCATGATTCCAATTGTTCGTATTTGTTTATCGTTAATGATTGTGCATAATATTACTCTATCGCACGTATGCTGCTGTAGTATTGCTCTTCTGTAGATACCCTACTTTAACGGTTTAGCTATTTTGCTATTTCACGAAAAATCTAACATACGGCACAAACAGCAAAAAAAAAAAACCTTAACTGACTTCCAATCGCAATCAATGAGACTACGCAAGCTCACCCCCCAGTCGCTAGTTGATGATAAACGACAGATAGCTAGTGAAAATGAAATAGTTTTCAACTAACCGTGCGCACAGCTCCCGCCGCACGGTCGCCGTGAACTTGTTGACCAGACAGAGCGTGGCCGCCGTACCGAAGATCACATTGTACAGCAGCACGATCATGAAGTTGCCGAGCCACTCGATCTGGCCAAAATCGCCCAGGAGATCGAAGTTGGTGATTCCTGCAAAAACGGCGGCATTAGAAAGTCGCTTCAGAAATAGCCCATGTGAAAACTCACCGAGAATGCGCGACAGCAATGGCAGCGCGGAACTGAGGATCAACACCAGCGCGCAGTTGGCAATCAGCTGTGAGAGAGACGTCTTTCGTCGCTGCGGACGAACGTTCCGCATGAATGGCATCGTGTAGAGACCTACCGCCGAAGTTACCCCGAGGTACATGATGATGCACACCTCGAGGGCGGCCCCCAGGGGCCCTAGCTTGGAGAGGGAAGTGATTCCCAGGGTGAATTGCTGGAAATGAATCATGGTTATTTGTTTTGCCAAACTGCTGCCTACCAACAAATATAATACACCTACCCGAGTACTCAGTGGAACGGCTTTGATTCCAATCAGCAATTCCAACGTATTCTGGACGACCAGCAATACGGTGATTCCGGTCAGTAGAAGTAATAGCAACATTGCTACCGGATAGACAAGATTTCTCTGCAACGCTGACGAGCTGCGTTGCTTATCTGCCGATAAGAAACATCAAAATCGGTTAGAATTTCCCCTAACAACAACACTCAATCTGAAAACAAATTTACCTAGTAATTTTCGTTCAGCCTCAAGTTCTCTCAGTCTTTCGAAAAGTTTGGCGGACTCGTTGATGCTGCCGCCGTTTGTCGGCCGGATTTGATACAAATCCTCTAGGGCTCCGCACAGCTTGGACGGTGCGGAATCGACCGTCGTTACGCTTTTCAGCTCTGGAGGATGGAAAAAAGAGAGGCAAAGTTGAGGTTCACTGAGCAAAACTTTTGAGGATAGAAGCATTCTTACCAATATTGATGTTGGCGTTCGCCAGCTTGCGTCGTACGGTTGCTTCCTCCAGGTTGAAGGCATGGAATTCTTCGTTGACGTCGCGTAGCAAGTTCGGCTTGACCAACACCTGGCCGACGACGCCGAACAGTCTTACGAAGCCCATGGGGGTACACACTGGATGGAATTGCAATTGGGTTACTAATTTCATATATGTGCTGGTACATAATGTAGATTTTTAAAAAAAAGGATGTAATCCGATCAAGTTTGTGCCAGATGCGACAATGTTAACAGCACCGAAAAACACCAGCACGGCAATCAGCACAAGTTCCCGCTTTTTGCAACACAATTCCATCAGCTATAACTTTCCTCAGAATATATTGGTGCTTTGTGGACATTTTTTGATGAAATATCACACGGACCTCTAACCCATGAATAGTGATCCAGTACAATTTCAAATTAAATAAAGCGTTCCATACATTTTATAGAATGCAAAAAAGACAGAAATTTCGTGTTGCCAAAAGCGGGAAGGATCCGCATTCTACCCTAGGGACATAAATTCATCCAAATCTCCAAATCATCTTCATGGTGACCAGCAAATCTCGATTAGCAATTTTCCCGTTTTTCTCCCGGAATGTTGGAAATTATCGCGATTAATTATGGAAATTAATTAATCACAAAACTGAAAGCGATCAAGCCGAAGGTTAAGGGGGTATTCCCAATCTTTTGCCTTTTTTCGGCCTGTTTTTCAATTATTTTTTTTCAAGGAAAATGAATAGTAATGCGCCTAACTCTTTGGGATTCTTGTTTATTGAACATTAAAGTTTACAAATAAATTTTTTTCGACATAAAAAAAGACATTATTGACGTCACAAAATGGCGGCAAACAGACCCCTGTTCGCCGCAAACGCCTGGACGGGCGAAGACTTTTCTCTGGAACGGCTTCATCTGAAACAGATTTCGTGATGAAATTAATAATATGCATAAGATTCTCTGGAGCTTCTCCCGTTGGCAGTAAAAAATCTTGCAAATTAACAAAATGGCGGCCATATAAAAAAACAGGCGATTTTTAGCCCGCTTTTTTGCAGCTTTAAGGTGCTTCAAACAATGTTAAATGTTAATATTTTTGGCTGAAAGTGGGAGAAGCTCCAAAAAATTTAATAAGGAACAAAATGCGGAAAGATTCAAGTCAATATCTCTTATAGTTTCTGAGAAAAATCTTCGCCCGATAAAAAAATGTGGTTTCGAGAAAAACGCGTTTAAAGTTTTGACTTTAGTTAAAACCATTTTGGGGGTTCTTACCATTAGTCAGCTATACCTGGACACCGAATTCGCTGATCGGAAAACGGCTTGGGGGGATGAAAGTATATAGTCTAAAGCACACAAAAAACGTGAAAAAAAATTTGATTTTTTGAAAAAAAAGATCGGGAATACCCCCTTAAATGAATAATTTCTAAGACAGCAGTACCTTTGCTGGATCCTGAATTTGGATCTGCGACAGGTTCGAAGTCTTCACAATTTGTGTATGAAAATGTTGCTCAAAACTTTACAGGCTTGATATTTTCTTTTAGTTTAATTTCCTTTCACAGAGATCTCTCCAGAATTCTTCTAAAATTAATTTGAAATTCTCTCTGGAAATCCCTTGAAAAGGTTTTTATAATAGTAAAGAATGTCTCTGTAGAACACTCTAAAAAATTCTTAAAATTCATCCTTTCTTCGAATTTTAAACTCTTTCTAAGAATTCACTGGAACTTCAATTTGTTTTTAAATTTGCATGAAATTCTCCGTAGAATTCACCTCAGACCAACAATTGAAAAGGGCCTATTGACTTTTGTGAGCAAAACTTGTAATCCCCCTTCCCTGTCAACACCATCTGGCATGGGAAATACTCCCACCGAGAATTGTCTTCAAAATTCGCTCAGAATTATCTTGGAGTTTCTAAATTCTTCTGAAAATTGCATGGAATTCTCATTAACATTTTCTAGAAATTCTTTTCGAAATGCATTTGGAATTTTACTCGAACTATCCTTATAGATCTTCGCATAATTATTTTGGAACTGTACACACAAAATTCACGTTCCTTGGTATTTTTCAAGAATCCTGAAATCCTCTTCACTCTTGGGAGATCTAGTAAAAACTCTCCTGAAGGTTTTCGTAAAGGTACCTAGAAAATATTCTCTGAAATACCTTGGTTTATCTCTAGAATTCATTCTAAAATCTGCTCAAATTTGCTTTGGAAAAAAATTCAAAATTTTCTTAATAGTTCTTCAAAGTGACTGTAGTTATCCTGAAATCTAGAACAGTCCAAGGGTCTTGAAATTGGCTTTGATACAAAGATTTTGAAGCAAGGAAATGTTTCAACACATCGTGATGTGTAATAACTGATAAGACTGCAATGCGTGTCGATGCATGTTGACATGGCTGGTTCTCGGCAGTGCGATGATCAATCATTATGATTCAGCCACCATTTGGGTATGGCTATGTTGGTTTTTTCATATGTATCAAGTAGAAACCCGATTGGACCTGTGGTTGGCCAGTAGACTGATGCAAATTTTGACATTTTTGCACCACAGTGCTCATGCGGTTTAAAATCGGGTCCTGACTAGCCTTCCAAAATTTGAACTCTTACGATAAGAAACTGACTTGGCACAAACCATTTGACCATATCGCTCTTCTTTGAAAAATGATAACTGAGCTCGTAGCAAATTTTCTCAGCTACAACTTTGTCCAAAACCACTTTTCAATATAATGTAGCGTTAGCGTTAGCGTTAGCGTTGTTATGATATACTTCGTAGATTGGATACTAGCGACACTCACGTCTCTTCTGAAATTCTCAGTTAGACTACTTTCAGGAATAATGCTGGGGAGTAAACATTGGTTCCAATCTAAACAAGAGTAGCAGAAGCATGACTGTCGCTATTTCCGGCCACGCCCATCTTTACCATAACTAGGGATAGGGAAGGAAATGTTGATGTAGTACTTACTTAACGAGAGGCCACCGACTTAGCGACACCCTCATAAGTGCTACGGAGTTGGAGGGTTAGGTAGGGTATTCGGTTAGGATTCACCTCAAGTTGGCGATGCAACCAATAGTATGTATTGTTTATTTGTTGTTTATTTAATCTCTCGATAGCCGGCTATCGAAAGAACATATTAATTTTGTTTAGTGATAATGAATTTTAAGAGTCATGATGGAGAGCTTGGGATTAAACCCATGATTTTCTGCTCAGTAAACAAAAACGATCCCTCCAGGGTCATCGAGCATCTCAGAACCATAACGCTTCGCAACAATACAGGACTACGTTTTCGCTTGATATGCAAACAGTTTCCGAGGTTAATGTTCAATATCAAATATACAAATGATGGTGGCGATTTATTGTGCTGTGGAAGAGCTTGGGGTTAAATCCATGATTTTCTGCTCAGTAAGCAAAATCGATCCCTCGAGGGTCATCGAGCATCTTATAATCCACAGCGCTTTGAATAACTATTATTTACGATAATTACATGAAATAAATAAAATATAAACTACAAACAAAACGTGACTGCTAAAATCTCAAAAAGATATTCTCACAAATATATTTCACGCCACCAGGAATCTTAAAACCATTAGACGTTATAATGATACTCTGCACATGTTAGACACAAGAAGAGGCCAAAAAGCAAGCGTCCGACACACAAAACCCGTCAAATCCACTTGCAGTCACAATCAACGATTCTACGAATCGCGAGCGCTCACGAATCATAAAACCGCTAACTGCGACACTCTGAAAGAGAAATTGACAGGCTCTATGCGTCAAACACCCGCCCTCCAATCTCCACCCGCATCCAACAGCACAAATCTCCAATACAACATCTAACGAATTCAAAACTCCGAAAATCACTCATCTATAGCAAGTGAGTGGAAGCAACCCTGCATGCGTTAGCGTTAGCGTTAGCGTTAGCGTTGTTATGATATACTTCGTAGATTGGATACTAGCGACACTCACGTCTCTTCTGAAATTCTCAGTTAGACTACTTTCAGGAATAATGCTGGGGAGTAAACATTGGTTCCAATCTAAACAAGAGTAACAGAAGCATGACTGTCGCTATTCCCGGCCACGCCCATCTTTACCATAACTAGGGATAGGGAAGGAAATGTTGATGTAGTACTTACTTAACGAGAGGCCACCGACTTAGCGACACCCTCATAAGTGCTATGGAGTTGGAGGGTTGGGTAGGGTATTCGGTTAGGATTCACCTCAAGTTGGCGATGCAACCAATAGTATGTATTGTTTATTTGTTGTTTATTTAATCTATCGATAGCCGGCTATCGAAAGAACATATTCATTTTGTTTAGTGATCATGAATTTTAAGAGTCATGACGGAGAGCTTGGGATTAAGCCCATGATTTTCTGCTCAGTAAGCAAAAACGATCCCTCCAGGGTCATCGAGCATCTCAGAACCATAACGCTTCGCGACAATACAGGACTACGTTTTCGCTTGATATGCAAATAGTTTCCAAGGTTAATGTTCAATATCAAATATACAAATGATGGTGGCGATTTATTGTGCTGTGGAAGAACTTGAAATTAAATCCATGATTTTCTGCTCAGTAAGCAAAATCGATCCCTCCAGGGTCATCAAGCATCTCATAATCCACAGCGCTTCGCGTCAAAGTCCGAATATATGGATGAACTATCTATTATTGAATAACTATTATTTACGATAATTACATGAAAGAAATAAAATATAAACTACAAACAAAACGTGACTACTAAAATCTCAAAAAGATATTCTCACGAATATATTTCATGCAACCAGGACTCTCAAAACCATTAGACCCTATAATGATACTCTGCACATTTTAGACACAAGAATAGGCCAAAAAGCAAGCGTCCGACTCACAAAACCTGCCAAATCCACTTGCAGTCACAATCAACGGTTCTACGAATCGCGAGCGCTCACGAATCATAAAACCGCTGACTGCGACACTCTGAAAGCGAAATTGACAGGCTCTATGCGTCAAACACCCGCCCTCCAATCTCCTCCTGCATCCAACAACACAAATCTCCACTACAACACCTAACGAATAAAACTCCGAAAATCACTTTTTCTGCCTATCTTTCTATTAGGCCTGCGGACATGCGTTAGCTTCGAAACTTCTAACCAAACTGGGTAAATTTTCAGATCACAAAAAAAAACTTGAAAAAAAAAAAAACTTTCAAAGGTAATTACAAGTAAGATAAATATTGATTATTTTACGCGAAAACGAGCAAGTAATATTAAATCTCTTGTATCATATGCTAATGCAAATTGACTGTAACAAAAATAATATGCTTAAATAAAATAAAATATTAATAAAATGATATGCAAAATTTACAAGAAGATCATTACTTTATTGGTGAGAAGTTTTTAATAAGCCCTCCCAGTTCCTCTGTATACAGAACAAATCTGATACTATAATCAGAATTGCTCAGTCTGCATAATGCAGCCGATTGCATCAAGGAAGTTCTATTAACAACCAAGAATTAATCGTTTGAGGTATACTGAAGCATTAAGAAGGTGATATGTGTCACTATAGGAAATCATCATCGTTGTAAATATAAAGAAAATTAAACATAACCATTTGCTTCAGTACCGTCAACCTCCATGTCCATGGGGAGGGAAAACCACTTTTCAATATAATGTAGCAGCAAAAGTATCAATAATTCAAGCTACACATGTCTTATGATTATGCTCAATCAACTGTTCAGCAGGCAACATAGGTGTTTCTGGCGCTTAGAATAGAGCACAAAAATCATGGCTACTATGCCACACTGCAAGGTACAGTGTTGCTCACAAAACAGCTGCTTGATCATGCCATAAGATTATCAATCTCTTAAACAATTAATAACTATTTTATTTGACGTTTGGCTCAACAACTATATTCTATTCTTTAAATTTGTCGAACCTCTTAACGGAATCCCTTTTATGAAGAGCTTTGAGTGGGTTGGTTTATTTCCTTTAAATTCCGTTATAATTGCTTATCTTTTGACAGATACGCATATTTCGTCTACTACATGCAGACTTCATCGGTGCCAAGTACTCAACAAGTGGTGTTGAGTACTTGGCACTGATGAAGTCTGCAAGTAGTAGACGAAATACGCGTATCTGTCAAAAGATAAGCAATTATAACGGAATTTAAAGGAAATAAACCAACCCACTCAAAGCTCTTCAACTATATTCTGCTAAGTTGTAGCTGAGAAAATTTTCCATAAGTATAGCATTTGAATTTTTGAACAGTGCAATATGGAAAAAAGGTAAGAAGACAATGAACAAAAAGTTTGGATTTCCCATAGTAATTTCCATATAAACTTCAAATGGTTTGTGCCAAGTCAGTTTCTTATCAAAGGGGTTCAAATGTTGGGAGACTGATCAGGACCCGATTAAGAACCGTTTGAGCACTGTGAAGCGAAAATGTCAAAATTTGCATCAGTCTATTGGGCAGCCGGAACGGAAAAAAAACCCGGAAAAGTCCCGAGCAAAATGCGTGTTGATTCATGTTGACAGGACTGGTTCTCGGCAATTAGGTTACCAAATTTTAAGATTGAGCCACTTTTTGAAAGCTATGACTATCTACTTTCCAACGAAAAAGACAAGGAACCGAATGCACCTATGGTTGGCCAATGAACGGAAAACCCCGTGAGAGGTGGCTCTGCGGAAAACCAGAATTCCTGAAAGTAGACCTAGAGATCCGCGAATTTCTTTGAACTGCATACAATCATGAGCATAGAGCAAATATGCCATCACCATATGGATTCTACGACCGGGTCAGAAAACGGTCTTCAAAATATCCGGACACCGACAAAATGGTCAATTCCTGAGAGTAGACCTAGAGATTCGTGATTTTTTTTTCGAAATAGGATACAATCATGAGCATAGAGGAAAAAGGCAATCACCATTTCGATCCTGATATAGGGTGGCCAGAAAATAGTCCTCTGGATATCCGGAATCACCGGGAAAATTGTTAGTTCCTGAAAATAGACCTAGAGATCCGCGTTTTTTTTAAACTGTAAACAATCATGAGCATAGAGGTAATAATCTATCTGCATATCAATTATGCAACTGGGTGGGGTCCTGTGGATATCCGGAATCACCGGAGAAATGGTCAATTTCTGTAAGTAGACCTAGAGATCCGTGATTTTTTTTCTTCTAAATTGCATACAATCATGAACATAGAGGAAATATTCTATATCGATTCCTCTACCGGGTAGCCATAAAATGGACCTCTGGATATCCGGAATCACTGGCGAAATAATCAATTCCTTAAAGTAGACGTAGAGATACGCGATTTTTTTTTTCTAAATTGCATACAATTATGAGCATAAAGGAAATTTGCAATCACCATATAGATTCTGTTACCGATTGATCAGAAAATGGAACTCTGGATATTCGGAATCACCGGGGAAATGGTCGATTCCTGAAAGTAGACGTAGAGGCCCGCGATTTTTTTTTTCTAAATTGCATACAATCATGATCAAAGAGGAAAAATGCCATACCGATTCTGCTTCCGAGCGACCAGAAAATGCTCTTTTGGACATTCAGATTCAACGGGAAATGTATGTGGCCATAAAGACCCTAGATTTATTTACTCAGGGTGGCCAGTGAATTTTCATTTTGAAATTCCCGGTTTTTCCCAGTTCAAATCTTAAAAATGTCCCGGTTGTTAATATTCAACAAAAAAAACGAAATTGTACGCATTTAAAAAGAACGTGGCTAGCTGTTAATTTTCGGAGGTTATTTGTGGGAAAAATAAAGCCAAAATTACAGAAAGTATTTTTTAAACAGCAAAAAAGGTTATCTTCCATTTAACAAAACTTCAAGTGTTTCATTTCACAAATCTGGACCAACTAATTTCCTTTTTTTTTATGAAACGCACAAATGTTGGCTACATTTCTTGTGGTTCTAGAAGAAAAAATCTCGACATAATGTTTTATTTCAAAGTTCGGGTGGTAGTAAACGTTTAAACTGCTCGAATGATGAAGTGGTTAATTCATTTTGCACAAACTGCAAAATGAAATTCCAGCATGGTCTTGATTTATAGCTGTGCCTTTACCGACTGAACTACAAGAAACCCTACATCCACCCCATAGCGATAGTTGTAAACCACAGCGTCGTTGTCGTCGACATACTATGTCCTTGGATACAGGGCAGCATTGTTATCGAAACGGTAACCAGGCTAGAATAACAGGCTAGCTTGTCTTGAAGTCGGAAAAGCCGCTCAGCAAAGTTGTTGCTTGGCCCAGCATTAGATGTTCATCCTTTCACCGGGCTAGACCCGTTCGCTCTGCTTTGTTCGGGTGAAAAAGAAAACAGGACTCGCAAAATGGTCAGCAAAAAGGACGAGGAGGAATTTGAAGCCTCGATGAGCAAGGTGGACGAGGTGATGAAGATTCTCAACTTGATGACCAGTGGCGACAAGGGCAAGGAACAAATGGGCGTGACATTCGCCGAACAGTAAGTTTGCGACAAGTTTCTTATTTCTCTTTCAAGATTACCTAATTTAAAATGTGTTCCCAAGCTTCCTGGGCGAAGACAAAAAGGACCTGGAAAAGATCGACGTCAACAACTTTATCGTCCGGGTGAATCAGGAACGAACCGTCATCAACCGGAACAGTGAAGATTCGTTGGATAAACCGATGGCTTCAGACAAGTTCGCTTTTATGGCAGAAGTGGAGCGTGATGCCGCTAGACGTGCCTCCGAGCGGAAGGAACGGGAACAAACGGCACAGGGCCTGAGACGGGCGGGGAATCGGGCATTTCGGCGAGGAGAGTTCGAGAAGGCAATCAGCATGTATACGAAAGCCATCGATCAGATTCGGGATAGTCCTATTTTATATAATAATCGAGCGTTGGCCTACATCAAGATTCAAATGTGCAAGCGAGCGATAATTGATTGTGATTTTGTGATCAGTAAGCTGGATGAGAAGAATTTGCGCTCGTGGATCTACAGGGCCCAAGGGTACCATTTGTTGGGGGAAATGAGAGCCTACGAGAAAAGTGTATCGGAGGCAAAAAAGCACAACCCGAAAGAGTGGGACTATATTGACCGGATCGTGATGGAAATTGAAGGGAAGGCGTGTTCGGAGGTGGGAGCGACCGATGAATCCCTGGGAGCCATGGGAGGTAGTGGAGATAGTAAGGATCGCACCTTGCCGATGGACGATGTGCAGTCAAATTCTTCTAACGAGGTTTAGAGAGCAGTGTCATTCCTATTAACGAACGCAATAAACATCTATCATTTTGCTTGACTGTCAAATAGTAAAGCTGCTAATTGATTTCATGGCAAGAAACCCCCACTCTCAATTTCTGGTTTGGATTTCGCAGTGTTCTATTTACACCGTTTATCGACAAAACTTTCATCGCTTTGTAACTTTTACTTCAACAGAGGTAAGAAACAGCAACGCAACCACAAGGAGGAAATTGGCGAACCGCTTATTGGCACGATGCGGTTTTCTGTCAGGCTTTTTAGGTGTTGTTGTTGTTGCCGTCATGAAACCGCGGTGAAATTGATTTCCAACTTACCTAACAATAACAGTACTCCTAGAAATGATACACATGAGTATAGAAATGGCAGATGATATTTTCCCAGATCTGAAATGGAAAAGAAAGCAGAACACGGACACGTTAGCATAGATTGATGTGAACGGTTGTGGGGGCGGAAATTGCATTATACTCACTAAACAGCGCCTGGAAGGTGTTCCGTTCGGGATCACGTAGCGCCGAGATGACATATGTCATGCCGAATACGATGAACGCGAGCAACGAGAACACGGTAAACGTCTCGTAGACCCGTGCCATCACTCCCTTCTTGTGGCCGCTGAAGCCGGACGATTCGGTGAATAGATAGGAAAACGGAAGCAGCACGAACAGTGCCAGGTTGGAGAACAGAAACACGTGATTCCAGAGACCTAGAACGGAACGATTTTGCGGTTAGATGACGATGTGTTGCAGGTGTAAATTGTACTAGAATATTGATACTACTGATGCTTGCTGACAAGGGTTTTACGAAAAATAGTCATTGTGTACTAGTGGTAGTGATAAATTGTAGATGAAAGTATTTGGGCTGGCAAACGTGGAGAACCTAAAGGGTAAAACAAGAAGGTATTAAGAGAAATCTACAGGGCCTCCAGTGCATGTTTAGAAGATCATGACTTGTTATTGGTATGTCTAAGTAGTTCGATGAACGTTCATGAGATGAACTCTAACTGATTCATCTTTTATGAGTGATGTGTTCTTTACACAAGCCTACCACACATAAGAACATCACACCTGTGTACTTGAGTGTACTTAGAGAAAAATCTTGTTACTAGGAGTTTACATTTATCAGTTACATTAAACGAAATAAAATTGTATCTGTTTTCACCAAGTCTAGTTCAAGAAAAGATCCATTAATGTTATTATTCTACGATGGGCATGTAGTTCATTTTATATTTCAACAAACCGCAAACCATCTGCCGGTTGCTCCCAATCGCTTTTTTCACAGAAACAAAAGATAAAAGTCGTCCCGCATGACCGACTGTATTAGCATTGGAATTATAACTATATGGCAAGATATCATCACCAAAACGCATCAACAGCGATCCCATCCATCATTGCATAGTCTACCTTGATATTACAATACCCACCTTGAATCAGCGAACTGTTGAGCCACTTCACGTAGTAACTGTTGGGATACAGTATCAGCACCTCGTTGCTGGCGATCGATATCGGCAGGAGCAGTGCTGCACCCACGGCCACGGCTAATGAAAATGTGCACAACCATAAACTGCAACAACAAAAGGGAGGGAAACGAAAATTTTCAACATTAAATCCAGGTAGGTTTGGTCGGTACCTCAACCGGAAATAAGCTTTTATTCCAGGCGCATAAAAATAAACCGAAAAATATGACGACGACGACGTTGCATTGTCGTCGGGCATGAGACCCGCAATCAGCGAACAATGGCAATCGTGTGCGCCTCTAATGTATTGAAATAGCAAAATTTCTGGGAAGAAGGCGATGCACCCACCTAATTCTATATACAGTAATCTCATCGTCGTCTGTGGAGAATAAATCCTCCCGGTCGCGGCGTCTGAAGCGACCGATCAGCGCAAAACTGCCAAGATACAGCAGCAGAAATAGTAACAGGAAAATCTGGAAAGATAACAAAGAAAATGCGGTTAGTATTGGTTCGTAACACTCAACAATCGATTTTTATCGATGCGGATTTTGGTAAATACATTGATAACGGCAACACTTGATAGCTCTTGATTAGTACCCCACACTGTGAGTGTTACCCGAGCAAAGTTGGAGATCAAATTGAAATCAAAATTGGCTATTTTGATGTAACTTTTTTGGAGTTGAGTTGATCTTGTTTTGTCTAATCTAATCTAACACCAACACGCAGACAGTTCTTGAAAGCATCTTGGAAAATGATTGATATAGCTCCATAATTTGTCTTGTGTATTTGATATATGGTTCGTATCGAAGACGCGTTACACATGCGAAAACGGCCAGGCCTACGGTGCAACATTTAAGGGGCACATGGCTGGTAGCGCTGATGCGATATAATAGTAGTGACTTTAGTGACTAAAATTACGGAAATAGTGACCAAATAGTGGCTTTTTAATAATAAATAAGTAACCAATAGTTACATTTATATGATCACTCAGAAAAGGTTTAATATTGATATAAACTGGTTTTGTCATGGAACTGAAAATCACATTTCATGAATTCCTCTAATTATATATGGAAACTCTCAACGGAATCTCCTATTAAGAGCAATACACCAGCAACCTATCTTTGGCTACTGGTGTATTCCCAAACTGCTGGAAGCAGTCGTATGTTTTCCCAGTTTTCAAGAAAGGCTGCAAGCGGATTGTTTCGAACTATCGGGCATTGAGCGCCACTTCTAAGCTGTTTAAGGTGATCGTTCTGCATAAGCTGGTTCAGAACTACGCACACTACATTTCGGTTGATCAGCACGGATTTATGCCTAACCGTTCGACGACAACTAATTTGACTTGTTTCACTTCGTTCGTGATCCGCCAAATAGAAAATGGTTAACAAGTAGACGCTATTTACACAGACTTATCCGCGGCGTTTTATAAAATGAATCATCAAATCGCAGTTGCTAAATTCGACAAGCTGGGAATGAACAGTAACTTGCTTTCCTGGCTTCGATCCTACCTAACCGGTCGAAGTATGTCCGTCAAAATTGGAGACCACGTTTCGCCCTCCTTTCCGGTTTGGTCCGGTGTTCCCCAAGGAAGTCACTTGGGGCCGTTTCTATTCTTGCTGTATATGAACGATGTCAATTTTATCTTGAAATGCCTAAAACTCTCATATGCCGATGACCTGAAGCTTTACTACATGATTAAGCAACCACAAGACGCGTTTTTCTGCAACAACAACTGGAAGCCTTCGCTGAATGGTGCCATATTAATCGAATGTCGCTGAACGAGTCCAAATGTTCGGTTATTTCATTTGGCCACAAGCAATCCTTCTTCCATTTTAGCTATTCTTTGGGAGGCGTGAATCTACAACGTGATTCGACAGTCAAGGACCTGGGGATTCTGGTTGATACAAAATTAACCTTCAAGGATCACGTCGCGTACGTTGCGTCTAAAGCTTCATCGCAACTAGGATTTTTATTTCGCTTTGCTAAAAAGTTCAAGGACGTTTAAGGAAGCTTTATACTGCACAATTGTGCGCCCTATCTTGGAGTATTCGTCTATCGTCTGGTCTCCTTATTACCAGAATGAAATTCAACGCATCGAAGCTGTTCAGCAAAAATTCGTCCGGTTCGCTCTACGTCATCTTAGGTGGAGAGATCCATTCAACCTGCCCAGTTATGGAAGCCGTTGTCTACTTATAAATCTGGAATTACTAGAAGCAAGACGCAACGTGGCAAAAGCGTGCATTGTTGGGGATCTTCTGCAAGGCAACATTGACAGTCCTACGCTTCTTAGTCTCTTGGACATCAACACACGTCGTCGCAATCTTCGGTCGCACTCGTTTATCACCATCCCTCCGGCAAGAACTAATTATGGCTTACACGAACCTTTGCGAAGCATGTCCCGTGTATTCAACCGGTGTTATTATGTGTACGATTTCAACGTGTCACGAGAAACAAATAAGCGTAGTTTTAAATGAGTTTTATGTTAATTTATGTTATTCGTTAGTTTTGTATTTAGTTGTAGAACAAGTGTCATTGGGGTAAACATTTTACCAGTTGACTAATAAACAATAAACATAAACATAATGACCAGCAAATAGCAATTTCCGGATTTTCCCACGATTTTTTTTAAATGTTACTGGTTGAGCTATACACGTTAAAATTAATGTACAAACCAATAAACCATAATAAACCAGCTTGAATTGGGTTAAATAGATCATTACATCGACAGTATTTTTTTTGAGGATCTTGAATTTGATTCTGTTTTGAAATCTTTAAAATTTTGATATAACTTTGATAATTCGCTAAGAATATTTCATACATATTTTCAGAATAATCTCCAGAACTTTTTAAGAATTATTGCGCTCCTCTTAAATTTGCTTCTAAAACATGCTTAACAAAAATAATATTACGGCCCTTATTACCGATGTCACTTCACGGTGAAGTGACAACTTATCACTCACGGTGAAGTGATTCCCATTTGATTTACACGGCAATCACTTCACCGTGAGTGACAAGTGGTCACTTCACTTCGTTTTCACCGTAAAGTGACACTCGTAATAAGGCCCTACATTCTTGAAATTCTTTGCAGAACAATGCACAACATTCTTGGAAATATATTATTTTCGTAGCAAGATGCTGAACGTCAAATATCAGACTTAAAGTGGACATTTTAATAAAGTGTAGAGTTGATAGTTCCGTTGTACTACGGCAGTGTGAAAATTGTATATAGAAAGTAAAAAGCCAGCTTAAAACAATTTTGAGGATGGTACAAATCGGGTAGAGCATCCCTTTTACCAAACTCATCCGTTGATGAGGGATAGTGAGTGGTGTTTCACTCCGCCACACTGACAAAAAGGATGATCGCCGATTTGCTCATGTACCTCCGATGTGCGGAAACAGTTCTATCAATTGTTCAACACTCAAATCGCAATCTGACGGAAGCATCTACCTGATTGCTCTACCTGATTTGTACCTTCCTAAAAAATGCCCTTTGCTCGCTATCTGCTTTTACTTTCTATATACAATTTTCACACTACCGTACTACAACTGAACTATCAACTCTATACTTTCATCTTCTTATCTATCGCATAAAATGTTCACTTTAAGTCTGATATTTGACGCATCTCCAACTATGAAAATCGATAACTTCACGCATGAATTAATAAAACATAATTAGTTAATGTAGATTATAATCGATTATTTAATTATTCTTCCAGGATTTCCATGAAGGTTCTTACCATAAATCTATTTTAAATTTACTTGAATTCTCCTTAGAATTTCGATGTTATTGACCTCAGAAATATCATGAACTTCTGCTTGGAATAATCTTGGACTTCTCCCCTGAATTATATTGGAAATTCAATTCGTATTCTCCTCAGAATTCGCATGGCATTTTCTCAGAATTCTCAAAATAAAAATCCCAACCGACCGTCACAGGAAAATGATGCATCTCAGAATACCCTTGAAACTCTTCGAAAAATTCCTTTGAGATTGAACCCTCAAAAGCCGATTCCATTGGAATTCTTCTCGGAATTTATTTCGAGCTCTTAAGAGTTCTCTTGAAAGTATCCTCAGAAATCATCCCCTTTTAGTGCCAAGTACTCAATTAAAAAATGTTAGTAATATTTTTCCATTTCACTCTATTTTAGATGTGGAAAAGTGACTTTAGTGGCTATTTTTAGGGAAATAGTGACTTTAGTGACTTTTTGGTGTGAAAAGTGACTTTTTAGTAACTGGCTTCAAAATAGTGACAAATTGATTTATCTTTATTAAGGAGGCTTTCAGCCTGAGGCTGGTTCGTCTCCAAAATAGTGACAAAGTCACCAGCCTCTGCTACCAGCCCTGGGGGCAAGATGATTCAGAAAACATCGGACCTGTTTAAATCGAAGACTTAAACACGATGCTTCAGAATCCAATAAATGGATGAAACGTGGACATCTCGTACCGTACGTTTCGTTTTTGGTAATTATATGATTGGTTGATCGTTAGAAGCATCTAAGCTAGAAAGGTTAAGTGATGCTCCATTTTCCTGTGACGGTCGGTTGGGACCTGAGCACTATCTTCTGTCGTAGCCTTTTATGGTTTATGGCTATAGCGCCATTATCCGCTTTCTCAAAAGCGAAGAGGGAAAAGAAGAGAAGGACAAAGGGAAAGCAAAAGGACTATGCATTCTATTAGCAACATTTTTTATTTGAAATATACAATATAAAAATTCATAACGGGGGTGGTCACTACCCGAGTCTTGTCACTATTAACAAGGTATAAAAAGTAACATGGACTAAAATGTGTTCCTTTGATTGCTGAAAAATCCTGTTCACCTAGTTTGAAGTTTGCAGGACTAGGGTTCGGTGATAAATCTTATACCAGTAAAGCACCACCACCAACTCACCAAGTTTAGTCAATTGAACCTAAAGGCAGCTTGACATGTGTTGATGTAGATTTTTCTTTCAATAGTTTATTTATGAGATTTTTAGCCACGGGCTTGTTCATCTCCAAGATTGTTTATGTAGAAGTTCAAATTGTAGACGGTCCGCTAGACGAAGGCCAACACAAACTAGTCTGGTCTGGAGTCTTCCCTCGATTTGAGATAAAAGATGTTCGAATGTAGTCGATTTTTGATGTGCATTGACAAGCGTTTTCGTGGCCATTTGTCAGAATTAGACGTAGAACTAAATATAATCAGGTGCAGCTCTCGCAGGACTTTTTCTGTCTTAGTGAACTCGCTGAGGAACTATAAATCTTATCCTGGGTATGGTTTTGACCACATCAGCAACTGATTTTAAAAATATAAATAAAACTCTACTCTACTAAAAATCAAATCTCACTAATTGGCGTAACTACAGAGGGCTACAGCCACTCTAAGAAGGAAGGAGCCCCCCTAGAATTATTACTATAATTAATTATTTTCCATACACATCAAGATTGTTCGCTAATTGCCTAATTAACCTCACTCCGGATAAGTCACGATTGACCT